AGATTTTCTATTGGATTCAAGTCAGGTGATTGGCTGGGCCGTTCTAGCAGCCTTAACTTCTTTCTCTCTAACCAATTAAAAGTTTCTATTGCTGTGTGTTTGGGGTCATTGTCTTGCTGAAATGACCCCCCACATTTAATCTTCATCATCCTGGTAGATGGCAGCAGATTTTTATCAAGAATCTATTTGTACATTTTTCCAAACTTCACTGTTGGTATGGTGTTTTTGGGAGTGGTGTGCAGTGCCATTTGACCTTGAAACATGATGCATTATGGCATCCAAAGAGTTCAATTTTAGTGTCATCTGACCAGACTATATCTTTCAGTATTTCACAGGCTTGTCTAAATGTTGTGTAGCAAACTTTAAACAAGCTTCAACATGCTTTTTCTTCAGTAATGGAGTCTTGCGTGGTGAGTTTGCAATCAATGACGGTTGAGTGCATTACTGTTGTACCTGCTAATTGCAGTCCTTCTGAAGCTCTCCATAAGTGGTCTTTGGCTCTGGGACACATCGTCTGATAATGATTTTCACTCCTCTGTCAGAAATCTTGTGAGGAGCATCTTTTCATGGTCGGTTTATGGTGAAATTCTGTTCTTCCCTCTTCTCGATTATGGCCCCAATAGTTCTCACTGGAACATTCAGATGTTTAGAAATCCCTCTGTAACCAATGCCATCATTATGATTTGCATCAATGAGATTGCGAAGGTCTTGAGAAAGCTCTTTACTTTTACCCATCATGAGATGTTTCTTGTGTGATACCAGAGACACCTTTTTATCGGCCGTCATTTGGGACTTAACCTGTTGATGTTAATTCGCACTGAAAAGGGGCAGGATTGCTTTCTAATTACTGTTAGATTTCCGATGGTGTCTTGGCTTTCCATGCCTTTTTGCACCTCCCTTTCTTCACATGTTCAGTGCTTTTTCCCTGTGCCATTACACATTACTAAACATAACTTTATTTCTGGACATCTATGGTTTGATTTCTTAGTATGTGTTGATTGTAGGAATTGCTACCAACATCTGGTAAAAATGTCTTGTCAATAGGATATCTAGAAATATATTTACTGAGAAAAAATTGTGTTCAGGATTTATTTTACCCGCTATACAATGTATGAAAAAAAAATGAAGAAAAATTAGACATCAGCAGTCTGAATTAAGGCACACTAAATTTGAAAACTTTTTTTTTTTCTTTTCTTTATTTGGAATCTAAATAAGGTCACCAAAATATTGGATAAAAAGGAATGTGACTCAAGATAATCTATGTAATCTTGTTTTATTTTTAAAACTGAATGACACAGATGTCTGGAGGCGGGGCTTAAAGCCAGATCTCTAGCAGTCAGCAGAAATGCAGCTGGTATCAGTAAAGTAGGGAGACTGAGCAGATCAGAGCAGAGCCTGGGAATGGAAAAACTGTTTAAAGTAACTAGTTTGACACAATAAATAACTTTATTTTTTAAGTTAAAATCAGTCTATCTTAAACAGTTTGTGCATCTAAATATCACTTTACTTGGATTTATCACTTTACTTAGATTATCACTTTACTTGGATTTAGTTTTACATATGCATATATATGCATACATACTATATATATATATATATATATATATATATATATATATATACACAGAAGAGCTATTTTTATCTTTATTATCTTGCGTAGTTGGATGTGTGTGTATATATATATATATATATATATAAAAAACTGTAACTGGAGCATGTAACAAAAGTAATTTTCCTCTGGGATTATTAAAGTATTTCTGATTCTGATGCTTATGAACTTTTTAACAATAAAGGCAATATATATAACAAATTCTCTGGTAAATAAGAATTTGTGTCGAAAGGAAACCGCATGTACAGTTACAATAAAGGTTTAAAAATAATACTGTAAAGATTCTGAAAATGTGTAAAATCAGCACGAACACTACAAAAAAAAAAAAAGAATGCAACTAAATTACCATTTATTTGGCAATACAAGAACCCAAAAGTCAAAGCAAAAAGTTCAAAATCAAATGTTTCTTTAAGAATAAAATTATTTGATTTTAAATAATCTCTGCTTAATAACAACTTTACTGATTGTTTTTTTTTTATCAAATAAGGTTTTGACTTTTATATGTTTTTTAAATATATTAATAATTTGATTATTGATTTATACATTTTACATTAGTGTTCGTCTCTCTGTGTTATTTCTAGTTGCTACTATTTTCTTTGAAGTATAGCTTAAAATATTCTGGTTTTATACTGCTATTTTATTTTTTTCCTCATCTTTACCAGATTTTCTGTAATAAACAATCCCAAAAACAGTAAAAGCTATGGTTTGTACCCCAATCTACTTTGATAAAAAACTACAAGTTTAATAGTATACTTTAGAAAATGTAATGGCTATTTAAGAAAGCTTGAGATTACATGAGAGGGAGTTTAATAGTAAACGTTAAGTAGTTTCCTAATTTACGTATGTAAGAGAGTTTAATAGTATATGTAAAACAGTTTGAGAGTATATGTAAAAAAAAAAACTTTGATAGTACATGCAAGTTTGATTTGGTTTGGTTGTCTTTATGCAAGTTTATAGTTGTCATACAGTAAGAGAAAGAAATTGAACATGTTTCATGGGGCCTCTCATACAAACCACACAGATATAGAAAATAAAACTAGTCCAAGTATACAACCTTGAGGTGCTCCTCAGGTCAGAGGTACTTAAGATGTAGAAACATTTAATTTGAAATAACTCCTTTGTGTTTCCTTTCTGGTAAAGTAGTTATTTTGGGGGGGGGGATTTCAGATGTACCCCCAAAGTACTGTGTTTTATAAAACTACAGGAATAATGATTCGTATGATCTGTAAAGTAACTTACGTCTTTTTATTTTCACAGGGCCAAAAGGGAGACAGAGGTGACAAAGGAGAGACGGTAAATAAGATGTTTGATTCTCAATTCATTTTTACATTTATGAACAAAATTAATCCCAAAAAAATCTGGAATACAGTTTTTATTATTTCACCTATTAGAGTATATTTATTGATGTTGGTTTTGATAGGGTGAACCCGGTCGAGATGGAACTGGACTGCCAGGTCTACCTGGACCACCTGGACCACCAGGAGAGATAATATACCAGCATTCTGACAATGTAAGTTCAGTTAAAAATATATTACAGTAACTGTTGCCAATTCCAGTTTACCATTGATTTAATTTACTTCATTCTCTGCATTTAGATTTTTTTTTGTATGGCAGAGTTGGACCTAAATAACTAAACACAATAAGACCCAAATTCTCAATTTATAATTCTAATAAACCACAAAGCTGCATTTTACATTGAAAGCAATGTGGTACAACATCGGTTATTCTGTTCCAGATGTAAGAAGCATTTTCAAATATTTTCCAAATGATCCCTTTTTAAAGGTGGATTGTATGATGGCTACAAACTTAGATTCGGCTTATAATTCATGATTACCGGTAATACAATTAGGAATTTTTAATTTTTTCAGTGGAGCCACAGCCCCATGTCACACTTTTTGTATTTGATATTCAAAGAGTGACTTTATTTATTTTTATAGTAGCCTATTAAAGGGCAGGTTGATAAGATCTGCTCAAATGTTGTTGGAATTCATGTGCTAATCATTAATTCATATATTTATTAAATGTTTAAAACAGTGAAGCCAGCTAATGTTAACTGAATTTTCTTTCTTCTCAGGGGGCCTCTGGTATACCTGGCAGAGCTGGATTTCCTGTAAGTGTCAAATATATATATTTTTTTAATAATCCTTTTTTTCAAATTTTTTGTTTAATTTCAGATTGCTTATCCTTGTCCGTTAGGATACACATTCTAGGTTTTTCATTAATAGTATCGCACTGTGTCACACAAATGTCTGGCAGTTTTATTTTATTGATGTATTTTTTATTTTTTAATGCAGATAAAGACATATTATTTGCTGAATAAAAAAGGTTTTGTTTGAATTTTGCATAAAACAGTGATTAGTTTAACAGTTTTCCAGCTGTGCTGCATGAACACATATTAAATGGTTAGCCAATTCTAAACTTCTCCCATAAATATTTGAATCTACTTTCCAGGGTCCTGTTGGCCCAAAGGGAGACAGAGGTGACCCTGGTCCACCAGGGTATGGCCTAAAGGTAAACTCTAGTTTTTTATTTCATCTAATAATCAAAGTGCTAATCACCCTCCTCCTCATCATCATCAGCTTGTATTTTCAGGGTGAAAAAGGAGAGCCAGGCTTGATAATCGGGCCTGATGGAAATCCTTTGTACCTGGGCGGGTTAACTGGGCCGAAGGTAAGTCTCATTTCTGGGTCTGTTTATTCCCATCAGGCCCTTCTTCTATCAGTTTTCCACTGTGTTCAAAGTAATCACCTCCGCTTTGTTTCTGTAGGGAGACAGAGGACCTCAAGGACCTGTTGGACCCTTTGTAAGTTTGCATTCTAAAGATTTTTAAGCTTTTGCATTATGTCAGCTTTTATTATATTATTATATCTTTCTGCAGGGTCCTCAGGGGCCTCCGGGACTGAAAGGTGAAATAGGCATGCCTGGAAGACCTGTAAGTACAGCTGTTCAGTTTATTTTAAAGTTCCAGAGGCTTTATGGTCTGTCAGAAAATTGATCACTGAGTTTTTTTTGTTTTCTTTTTTCCAAAAGGGTCGCCCAGGTGTGAATGGATACAAGGGTGAAAAAGGAGAGCCAGGGGGTGGTGCAGGTTACGGATACCCGGTAAGTAACAGGATTGTCATGATTTTTTCTTTAATACTGAGAAGCGAGTATCGATTTTTTTCACTCTCTATCATGTCATTTTATCTGGTTCTTTTATTAACCTCAATAAAAGGCCAATATTTGTCATGATTTTATCAAGAGCTCGGACCCACATGCAGGTAAAACAAGTCCAGAGAGACAAGGGCAAAAGTTTAACAGGTTTATTGAGAACTTTTGTGGAGCTTCTAGTGTTGCTCTGAACACTGCTCAACCGGAACTGAGAGGTGAGGGGAAGACACTGCGGTTAGTTCAGGTTCAGTGGGAGAATTGACTCTCGAACTTGAAGAGGAGAAAAGGTTGATAGACTCACGTTTCCAGAGATTAGGTTTACTCTTAGACTCCAGCAGGTGAGGAATGTGTTCCTGTGTTTGTTTTGTACGGAGGAGGGCGGACAGGGTTACCCAGAATGCGGTTACTTGTAGATGAATAAAGAAAGACTGACTGCCACTCAGATTTCCTGCGGTTCGTGAATGGACTGTTGTGCAGATGAATCCTTTGCTCAGTGTGAAGCTCGAACGTTTCCTCAGTTTGAAGCTCAGTTGATCCTTCCAGGGAGAGAAGGTCAGAAAAATACAGTTTGCAGGATGACTTCCTGCCGAGAGGCAAAGACAAAAAACAATGTTAAGACTCAGGTTGACAAAAACTCAGTTTGACTCAGCAAAACTCAGCAGGGCTAGAGTACCCAAAACTGGCAAACACTCTGGTGTCGAGGTGGTGGCAGTCAGCAGCTTAAGAACACTCCGTTAACGAGGTAACCCCTTGCAGGTGTGTGAGGAGGAGAATCAGAACCAGGCACCACCTGGTGGTGGAAGGAAGACTAACACACAGAAACACAGACCACACAGACTGGAGTCCTAACAATATTCAGACTGTAACACATAGTTATGGCATACAGATTTAAAAAGTGATAACTATTCTTACCCTTTTTATTATTAATATTATTTATTTCATTCTTCAATAAATTGAAGAAACACAGCACAACTAAAATCATTAAAATCTAAACGAGCAGAACAGAAAATCTTATATTATTTTCCCCCAACACCAATAGTTGAAGCATTAATAATCGTTAAATATTAAACTGATAAATTCTTAAGCTAAATCAGTTTCAGGCATTGGAACTTTTCTTAAGTTACACCCATCAGTTCATATGTAAATTTTAACATCAAGCAAAAAGAGCCTCCCAAAAATAACTCTTTTGATTATATATTCATACATATTTAAACACAATAATTAATGTAGCTTATTTTTTATCTTTTTCCAGACTCTAAAAACTGACTGTACACACAGAAAGAAATTGCTCCAGCACTTAAAGTCTGAACCCTGGTGTTAAAAACATTTAACATCCTTTTATATTATAATTAATTTGCCTTTTTTTAAAATATTTATAATATTACTCAGTAAACTTGTTGTATAACCTTTGTACATCAGTTTTAAAATGCTATTATCAACCCAGTCTCCAAATTTCACCAAGTGTGATATTTGATTCATCTATTCATCTATTTACTCTTTCATTTCTTTTTGCCCTGTTTTGTAAAATTAAAAAACTTATTTTTTATGTGTATTACCCCATAATCCTTTGCAATTAGTTAGATATGGTACAAAAATAATATAATATTATATAAATAATGGATCTTTATTTAGTTAAACTTTTACTTTATATAACACAGAGATTAGTTTAGCTGTTTTTGTATGTGACTTTAAGAAATATATTTTCATCAATAATTATCCCTAAAGACTTAACTTTGCTGATTTTTTTCTATTGTTTTCTATATCTAATGCTACTTCTATAGTTTAACACGATTAATAAAATCCCGCAGCCACAGGGGGGGCAGTAATATACTTGTAATATGAGTTATTTTTTTGTTTTTTGACACTTCCTTCATGAAATAAATACATGCTTAAATAAAAAAGTAACACTACTGTAGTAAATGGCTGAAGCAATCCATTATGAAACCCACAGCATCTGAACACTCTAGCATGTCTCACACAGAGTACACAGGGATGGACTGTACCAATATGATCTGTCACATAAATGAATATAGACAACCGTATGTCTCCTAGCAGCACCTACGAAAGGAAGCAAAAGGAAGCATAGGTCTTCCTCCTCCTAACTCCTTCCTTCCTGCCAGAACTATTTGGATAGGAAAGATTTTATGCATTCAGATTTAGTCTAAGACCGCCACCTGTCTGTAAC